CCTTTTGGCCTTAAAATCCATTCATCACCGTCCACGCTCTCTAACATCAGTGCAGTCGCTCAGCCGCAAGCTGTGGTGCTGGACGCAGGAATAGCTGGGCTGCGTTCTCTGGCCTGCGTTATGCAGGTGACTAGAGTAGATGATTCTAATGATCGGGCCTTAAAATACATGAATGTACTAATTACTATTTTTGCTTGTGGTAAAACCGGCATGGCCCATAAGCGCAGCGAGCCACAGGCCTGGCTCAGAAGAGCTTATCATTTAAAACCGACAAGAGGCCCTGAGGGTGGGAAAGGGAAGGGGCGGGTAGGTAGACGGGAATTACCTCAGGCCACGCCACAGAGCAATGGGTCAGAACTCAGCTAGCCTGACCCCTAGCACAGAGCTCTAGCCAATAGATCACGGTGCCTCCTGAGGCTGTATGTTACGGTAAGGCCACAAGATTCATTTTTCGAGGGTGCAGTTCACCCTTGTGCAGGGGGCTCATCCCATGGCCTATTTAACCCCAGGGTCTTATTCTGAGGGCTGCATTGGGACTCTTGTAATGTGCAGGCTTTGGCAGAGGGCTGAATTTCCTGCAGAGAGCGATGTGCTCAGTGAGAGGAGCCCCTTGCCTTAGAGGTTACTGTAGGAGAGGAAGCTGGGAAGCCAGCACTGTGTTTCTCCTGCACAGTAGTAGGTGGCCGTGTCTGCAGCTGTCAGTCGGTCTATCTTTAGCCTGGCAGTGGACCCGCTGGTGGATGGGGTTACCCGTCCTTTGAATTCATTAGCGGTGATGGTGGCGTAACCTGTTCTGAAGGCTGTAACCCAGACCAGACGTTTCCCAGGAGCCTGACGGACCCAGTGGAGATGGTGGTCATTGATGTTATACCCAGACACGACACAGTCCAGGGTGATGGAACTTCCTGGCTTTGCACGGACAGAACTTGGCTGGGTTAAAGTGATCGCGGCCTCGGAACCTGTTAAAGAAACACAGAGGAATGATCCTATCCCATCACACCGGTGAGCCAGCTAATCTCCGACAGACCTTTCAGAGGAAGGTGCAAGACACCTTGGAAGTGGGCTGTTACAAAGTAAACCTGCCAGAGATTGGTGTAAGAACAAAAGGATTGACCCACTGATGTCATCAGCCCCCGGAGACATAAAAAATCCCAACCTTACAAGAGGCTGCACCTCGCTGCTCACCTGACAAGATGCACCAGGCCACAACGCAAAGACAACGTAGCCAGAGCATGACTGCTGCTGACCTCTGCTTTAGCCCAACGGGTTGGTGTCAGATATTCCCGCTGACTAACAAGGCAGGTATCACCCCATGTTCTTATATCCCCCGAGGCAGGCAAATGATTTTGCATTTCAGAAATTTCCCTTCTCCCGTCTGTCTGTCCCCACCCCCTCTCCCTCCACCCAGTTTCTTGTGGTGACTCCGCATCTGGAGATTTGACTTCAGGCAGGAACTTTGAAAAGTGTTTAATGGACAGATGTCCAAACCCTACTGAAATTCAATCACAGCTGGGTATCTAAAATCCCCTTCTACTACTTTGAAACCTCCAGCCTCTATTGCCACATACTCGGGTGTGACAGGAACAGAGGAGTTGCCCTAAGGCGTTAGGTCAGTCCCTCTAGGGCAATATAAAAAAGATTCAAAAAAGAAAGGTTGAAGCTAGACCCTAGTTGTAACTCAAGGAACAGCCGCTGTAGGTGAATTTTCTTCCCAATCCCGGTCAGTTAGCGTTAGGCTTGTTTCCACAGAACAGCAGAGACCTTGGACTGTTGACTCAGTCTGTCTTAGTTTGCCGTCTAGGAAATGGAGACAGCCATAATGTCCTGCCACCCATGGGAGTTGTGAAGATAAATTCATTAATGTTTATGAGGTGCTGAGATCCTGCAGTGATGGACAGCATGGATGTTCCAAAACAGCAGGTTATCTTTGAGGTCTGTCAAACCAGGCTTGTTTCCAGTGAAAGCTTTGGTCATTAATTAATGTAACCCTTTTTTGTAGCTAAGCTTTTCCTTTTATTATGAAGACTTCTAATATACTGAGTGTAACTTACATTTTGAGACTACTAAGAAGGGAGTTAATTGGCCTGATTTTCCTCATTGACTTGGGTGAATCAGGAGTAATTCCACTTGTGTGATTGTGGCTTAATCTTCTCCCACTTACCACACTCCCAATTGCCCATAACTCCACTGGAGTCAGTCTGAATGAGTCTCATTTTATTCAGCCCAGTTTGAACTAGGAGTAATTCCACGGGTGCCAAAGGATCAGAGTCTCATTTCATCCTGCTGTAAATCAAGAGGAGCTCTATTGGACTCATCAAGGCTAATTCTCCTGTCACTCATTCTCGTGTAAATCAGGAGTGTCTTTTGGAATCAATGAAGCTGATTCTCCTCTCAGCCACGAGGAGTAAGTGAGAAGAGAATCTGGACCAATGGATCTACTCATGGAGTAAAGTACTATTTGCTATGAGTAATGGTAAACAGAATCTCACCCCATGTTAGCACTGTCACCATTTGAAATGTAAAATCAACATGAACATTTAAGTCCAGAATTTCTACCCGCCTGGAGTAGAAATGTAGTTGTACTGAAGTCAATTGCACTACACCCATTTGCTCCAAGTGAGGATCTGCTCCCTTAACTTTCCCCTTCGATTCCTCTGGAACAAGAATTTCCCTTTTAACCTTGGTGACAAGCGAGGAAAGGGGTCCCCATGCTGAGCCAGACTCTTCAAAGCTGTGCAATGCCCTCGACTTCTATTTTGGAGGGGTTTTCATTCAAACTCTCCAGTCCCAAAATTGTTTTCAGCACAAAGACAGCATAGTGCCTGCAAAAACCTCTCCCCCTCTGACACTCCGTGAGGAAACAGGCAGGAAATGGGGGAAGACAGGCCTTCAGCTGTGTCTTTCTCTGAAATCGAAAGTCCGTGTGGTTTTCAGACATGACCGCAGCTGCGGAGGAAAATGAGAACAGCCACTAAAAGACACACAGAGCTCGGCTGCCATCATGTGCTCATTCATGGATGTTGCTGTTTCTGTCTCATTCCTCTGCGCCTGCTAATGAATCACGAGTGGCCATTGTAGAGAACAGCCTCAGGCTGGCCAGTCCTACCCCTGGGCTGAAAGCATGTGAGGCATTACACCCTATCGTCTCCCTGTCTCGTGCCATGCAGCAGCCATTGTACAGAAGGGCCGTACGTTACTCATTCTTGGCTCTTGCACAATGGGGGTAGAATGGGGATTGAACCCCAAATTCCTCACTCCTAGTCTAGCCGCGTTACCAATATCAGACGCACATGCCATAGCTTGAAAGATACCCTGTCGTTCTAAGAGAGCACACGGCCTTGGTGCAGAAATTACTGGGTTAGGTTCTCTGAAGTGTGTTATGAAAGAGGTCAGACTACAGATATTGTGAATGGTTTTTCCTGGCCTCAAAATCGATGCCTATCCTCCAGGTGCTTTGACTTGAGTGCTCTAGGGAATTCCCTAAGGCTGCCCCATGGCTTGGGGGAAGGCTTGTGAGTTCCAATGAACCAGAGAGCTACAAGGGCAGGAGTTTCTCTCCTGCTAGGGCCATCCCAGTTGGACAGGTCAAAGAGCAGTCCGTTGTCAGGGAAGACCAGACGCCTTATCCCTGGGAGAGAGCTGGTCTAGGAGAAGACAGGCTCTGTATTCAAACCAGGGCTGGCTGGCTTGCTAGCCACTCCTGGTCCACAGGCTTCGCGGGAGCAGCCGGTTTCTGCTCCAGGCTGCGGCGGCGTTGGCAAGCCAGCACCGGCACTGGGCTGCGGGCGCTTCGGCCTTCAGTGGGCTCCGCGTGCAACTGTGGGTCAGCCCAACCGCTGAACCTCCTGCAGCAGTGGGCAAAGTGGCCAGCAAGGCTGAGAGCTCGTGCCTAGCCCTGCACGGCTTTAAACATCTCCTTGTGCCGGTCTACAGGCCTCGCCACCCGCCACCCTCCTCGGATCACTGGGCTGGCAGCAGGAGGCCAGGCTCGATGCGCATAATGGTCGACAATTAACCCCCAGGGTCATTATTATTTGGGTCTCAGCAACAGTTGGAGGCTGCAACACAAGTCTGTGCTCTCCGGAGCCAGAGGCTACACACACAGTGCTGATTAGCCACAGGGCCGACGGGGCCCGTGCCCAGGGGCCCAGCCAACCGGGGGGCCCTGGCAGCAGAAGCCCAGAGTCCCAGCTGCCAGGCAGGGGGGGCAGACCCCTGCGCCCCGACCCTGGTCCCCGGGAGGCAGGAGAAGCACCAGCACTCCAACCCTGGTCCCCTGCAGAAGCAGGGGAAGCCCCAGCATCCAGACCCCACTGGGGCCCTGGGACTGGGGGAGCTTTCACCCCCCATTGCACCCTGGGGCTGTAGTGTGGGGACAGAGCTTCTCTGGTCTTGGTGCCGCAGTGCGGTGGGGGTGGGGGGGGCGGGGGGAGAAGGATCAAAAGGGGTTGCGGGGCTGCAGGGGGGTGGGTGGAATGGGGGGACCCTGGGTGGAACAGGGGTGAGGGACAGAATGAGGCGGGCTGTGGGGGGGGCAGTGGGCAGAAGAGGAGGAACTGGGGCAGAAGGGGATGTGGTGAGGGGCCTCCCACTGGTTCTGGCCCAGGGCCCCAGGAAGCCTTAATCTGCCTCTAGTCCTCTGTGTGTGTACAAACAGACAGTCCTGCCTTCGAGGAGTCAAAACAAACAGGACAGAGAAAGGAAACCGAGGCAGCTGAGATCAAGGGCACACTCTGTCTCGGTGGACGAGCCTGGAACAGAAACCAAGTGTCCTGATTTGCCAGGCAACAACTCAGCCAGGAGGTCACGCTGCCTCCAGGCTTGCACCAGTTGGAAAAATTGGAGGTGAAAATTGCCATCCCTGAGCCTGAAACAAAGCCCTGTGCCAAAGCAGCAGGGCGGCCAGGCACCACGGATGATGTATTTGGAATCCAGTGGCGCACGGACCTTTTGCTGCACCTTCCGCCCCGGGGGTGAATTCCCTGCAGAGAGAGATGTGCTCAGTGAGACTGAGGCCAGTTCCAGGGGGATATTGTAAGAGAGGAAGTTAGGCAGCGATCACTGTGTCTGGAACAGTAGTAAGTAGCCGTGTCTGCAGCTGTGAGCTTGTCTATCCTTAGCCTGGCAGTGGAGCCGCTGGTGGAGGGGGTGACGCGGCCTTTGAAGTCATTAGAAATGTAAGTGGTGTCCCCTGTTTTGAAGGCGGCTATCCACACCAGGCCTTTTCCCTGGGTCTGGCGGGTCCAGTGCATGTGATGGTCATTGATATTGTACCCAGAGGCGACACAGTCCAGAGTGACGGAGCTGCCTGGCTTAGCAAGTGCAGAACTCGGCTGGGTCAAACTTATGGCAGCCACAGAGCCTGTTAAACAAAGACCAGAAAATTATAAAGGGGATAACCCAATGGGGGCTTCCCAGTCCAGCTCTCTGACAAGTCTCAGCGCTCAGTTCTTCAGGGGATGCTCCTCAATTCAGTCAAGGTACTAAAAAAAACCCACACTGTACCCAGTGCTGGCCACTGCTCCTTACCTGGCAAGGAGCACCACACGAGAATGCAAACACAGCGTAACAGCATCATGCCTGCCGAAGGAGCTAAGCTAGGACAAGTCACGTATACTTGGTCAGCTCTCCCCCAAGGTGATCCATGGCATTTTTAAATAATCAATGGCAGGCAAATTAATTTGCATTTACATAGCATCCCGATGCAATTTTTCACTGTGGAGGAGAGAGAGCGAAAATAAGCCTCTTGTGGGCGATGCTATTCAGTGCATGTGTGGAAAGCACTTTGATATTCTAATGGTGAGGCCTCTATCAAAACCTGAATAGAATAAGATTCCAAAGCCAGAAGGACAGTGATCGTCTGGTCTGAATTCCTGTATTATACAGGCCAGAGAACTGCCCCCAAATAATTCCTTTTGAACTGGAGCATATCTTTAAACAAAACCCAACCTTGATTTTTAAATTGCCAGTGATTGAGAATCCACCACTGCCCTTGGTAAATTGTTCCAGTCGAATTACATGATATAAGAACATAGGAATTGCCAGAGTGGATCAGAATGCTAGCTCAGTCTCCCGTTACCTACACGATGCCTATCCTCCTGGACACTTCAGAGCTAGAGCTGGGTGGAAAATGATCAGCGAGAACTTCATCGGATGCATCCGATGAAGTGAGCTGTAGCTCACGAAAGCTTATGCTCAAATAAATTGGTTAGTCTGTAAGGTGCCACAAGTACTCCTTTTCTTTTAGCTAGTGGTCAGAGAGAGAAGGGCCTCATTAAACCCTGCTGACCTGTTCTGCCACCACATAGCCCTTGCACAGTGCACCCTTTAAGTCATTCTGCGTTCCCGTTCGTCAGCCTCCACAACCAGATTCCTTTTTAAACCTTGGCGGCTATTTTCTTCTGAATTTGAGACATCTGTCCAGGAGATGAGAGATAACGGACGGCTACAGACAACATTAACACAGGACAGATATTTTAGCATTGTCTGCAAATGTTAGCATTCGTTTCTACAGCATTTGACATGCGCCCTGTACCACAGTGTAGGAAATTAGTGCAAAAAATATTTTAAAATGTCGCAAGGGAAGAAGCTCAAGGAGGGCTCCTCTAACTGCTTGATGCACAGTGTGTTGCATCTGCTCCTGAATCACTGATAGTGACTCTGTTGAAGGCATGAGACTGAACTACATGGACAAGCCTGACCCAGTGTGGCAATGTGTATGTTCCTAAATACATCACTTCACATGGCTGCATATCAAAGTTCTCCAGGTCATTTCCTTCAGTCTTAACTTTTTCAAGCACCTTTGGAAACCCCATTCCTATTAGTTATTCTGGTCCCATTTGTGGACCAGGATCCCACCGTGCCAGGTGCTGTACAGACACAAGACAAAAAGATGGTCACTTCCCATGACTATGAATCCAAATGGGATGCTCTTGCGAACAAGGCAAATTCCATTCTGGGGTGTGTTCACAGGAGTGTCATATGTAAGACAGGAGGTAATTGTCCCTGTCTACTTCATAAAGAGGACGCCTCAATTGGAGTAGTGTGTCCAGTGCCGGGTACCACACTTTAAAAGAGAGACGTGTGGATAAACTGGAGGGAGTCCAGAGGAGAGCAACAACTCTTTCTCCAGGTCCACCAAGGGAAGGACAAGTGATCATGGGCTTAATCTGCAGCAAGGGAGATTTAGGTGCTTGGGAATCCGAGGAGTATGAATTCAGTCACCCTTGTGCAATTGGACACAGACATGCCCAGTCACTCTCAAGCCCAGAACTGCAAAACTAAAAGAAGGAAGGAGGTTAATTGTTGTCTCAGAAGGCTTCTCCGCTGTTAGGGGCTTATTCCTTCACCCACTCACTTCCCTGGTCCTTCTCGCATGAACAGAGAGCAACAAAACCCAAAGTCCAAAGGTGCAAACAATTTGATGTTTATTGGGGTGAACTTTCAGCAAGCATGATTCCAGTTTCCTTCCTTAGTGTCCCCCTTCCCAGCTCTGACACCACAGAGCCTTACCTGTGTCCCTGTTCCCATTCCCCACCTTAGAAAACATGATTCCAATTTCCCCACCTCCATTCCCTGTTCCCATTCCCCCCCAAATTTCCTGATTGACTGCAGACTATATAGTAAAACTTGAGTTCTGCTAAGCTATACCTTAACCAATCATTTTCCTGAAATTTAACTAACCAATCCTAACATATTGTAACATGATTATTTAACCAATTATATCCCACCACCTTCATTAGTTTACACTCAGCAAAATTCATTACACAGAAGACAGAAACAATCCCAGAACCAGACAGAGATTATACAGACAAACAATAGGGAAATGGAGACTACACTGATAGAACAATACAGAAGTAGGGATTTCACATCCCAGCTATGGGTAAGTGAGTTCTTGCTAGACAGGATGCTATCAGACTAAGTTTCCTTTTAAATCTTCTAGGCACTTCCCTTTCTCTGGAGGCGATAGGCACTATCAGGACAGGATTGTATCCTAACAGCCCAATATCACCTTCTTTCAATGTGACTAGTTTGGGATATGAAGATGTGACCGGTCGCTTCCCAGCTTATGGCTGCCTCTGCTGCTTAGCCAGAGGCCTTAGCCTAAGAACAGGGCCTCAGACTGTCACAGTAAGAAAAGGCCCTTACACCGGCAGACAGTGATTTTGATTCTTTCTTTTATACCTCTAGAACTAGCCAAGTGATAAGAATTCGTCTAAATTCTTAGAGTCTAGGCCTTTACAGACAGGCCTGAATATCTATATCCTAACATCTGCTTTGTTAGTGGAGTATATTCTTGTCTAAAATAGAATAGACTACAATAGGCTAATTTAGTCTCCAGAAGACCATGGCAATTGCCAGAGCAGATAAGATGCCCATCCATTCCTATCTCCTATCTCTGAAAGTGTTCTTGGTGAGGCATCTGTTACTGAAGTTACAAGGCGACCTCTGATTATGGAAGAACCTTCCCATAAGACAACTCTGTCTGGGGTTTTCAAAGGAGTCTATGGGAATTAGGAGTCAAATTCACACACACAGAAACTCCAGGAGAAAGTGAATCACATTTGCCTTTAGCTTAAAGGATCCAGCAAAAAAAATGTCCTACCACCTTATACTTTATGGAGCAGAAATGAACAGAACTGGACCGTGGCTAAGTAGTGGAAAGCATACTTCACACCACAAGTGAGCCACCCTCACTCCACAATTTGATAACCTAGCCTAGCAAATAATTTGTGTCACACTTTAAAAGGAAGACTTCCTATCTATTATTATATTCCAAGGGCCTTGGAAATGTATGTTAAGTGTCTGAAAGTCTCTCTTTCTGCCAGTTAATTGTTATTCTCCTTCTGCAACATCTAATCTGTCTAAACAAATGCTAGAGAACCTGGAGCCATCGGTCCCGAGGGAAAATGCAATGTCTGGGAGTTGCAGAAGCTAAGGATTCCATACGTATGTTTTTAATCACTTGACGCTGCCACTAGAAGTTGTTTTCTTTGATGCACCCTATTTCAGGTACTGCAATCAGCTTAGCACATAAGACCATAAGAACAGCCAGACTGGGTCAGACCAAAGGTCCATCTAGCCCAGTGTCCTTTCCGACAGTGGCCAATGCCAGGTGCCCCAGAAGGAATGAACAGAACAGGGAGCCGTCAAGTGATCCGTCCCCTGTTGCCCATTCCCAGCTTCTTGCAAACAGAGGCTAGGGACACCATCCCTGCCCATCATGGCTAATAGCCATGGGTGGACCTATCCTCCATGAATGTATCTAGTTCTTTTTTGAACCCTGTTATAGTCTTGGTCTTCACAATATCCTCTGTCAAGGAGTTCCACATAGAATCATAGAATATCAGGGTTGGAAGGGACCTCAGGAGGTCATCTAGTCCAACCCCCTACTCAAAGCAAGACCAATCCCCAACTAAATCATCCTAGCCAGGGCTTTGTCAAGCCTCACCTTAAAAACCTCAAAGGAGGGAGATTCCACCACCTTCCTAGGGAACCCATTCCAGTGCTTCACCACCCTCTCAGTGAAAAAATTATTCCTAATATCCAACCTAAACCTCCCCCACTGCAACTTGAGACCATTACTCCTTGTTCTGTCATCTTCTACCACTGAGAACAGTCCAGAGCCATCCTCTCTGGAACCGCCTCTCAGGTAGTTGAAAGCAGCTATCAAATCCCCCCTCATTCTTCTCTTCTGCAGACTAAATAATCCCAGTCGCCTCAGCCTCTCCTCATAAATCATGTGCTCCAGCCCCCTAATCATTTTTGTTGCCCTCCGCTGGACTCTTTCCAACTTTTCCACATCATTCTTGTAGTGTGGGGCCCAAAACTGGACACAGCACTCCAGATGAGGCTTCACCAATGTCGAATAGAGGGGAACGATCACGTCCCTCGATCTGCTGGCAGTGCTCCTAGATATACATCCCAAAATGCCATTGGCCTTCTTGGCAACAAGGGCACACTGCTGACTCATATCCAGCTTCTCGTCCACTGTCACCCCTAGGTCCTTTTCCGCAGAACTGCTGCCTAGCCATTCAGTCCCTAGTCTGTAGCGGTGCATTGGATTCTTCCATCCTAAGTGCAGGACCCTGCACTTATCCTTATTGAACCTCATCAGATTTCTTTTGGCCCAATCCTCCAATTTGTCTAGGTCCTTCTGTATCCTATCCCTCCCCTCCAGCGTATCTACCACTCCTCCCAGTTTAGTATCATCCGCAAATTTGCTGAGAGTGCAATCCACACCATCCTCCAGATCATTTATGAAGATATTGAACAAAACCGGCCCCAGGACCGACCCTTGGGGCACTCCACTTGATACCGGCTGCCAACTAGACATGGAGCCATTGATCACTACCCGTTGAGCCCGACAATCTAGCCAGCTTTCTACCCACCTTATAGTCCATTCATCCAGCCCATACTTCTTTAACTTGCTGGCAAGAATACTTTGGGAGACAGTGTCAAAAGCTTTGCTAAAGTCAAGGAATAACACGTCCACTGCTTTCCCCTCATCCACAGAGCCATTTATCTCATCATAGAAGGCAATTAGGTTGGTCGGGCATGACTTGCCCTTGGTGAATCCATACTGACTGTCCCTGATTACTTTCCT